GGAGGGCCAGGGGAGTTTTGGTCAGTGGGATGGTGTATGTAAGGGTCTGGATTGGGTAGTAAGCTGCTTTTGCAGGGGCCAGAGAACTGTGGCTTCTGTGACTAGCATAGAGGGTCGATACCCAAGTGGCCCGGGAAGGAGCAGCCTGGCTTCTAGTCTCTGCTTTTGGGACCTGTGGCCCATCGGCACTCAGACTGCAGCGTTGAGCTCAGTGGATCTAGGTGATGGCATGAGTTGCTGTCAGCTCAGCACTGGTTCTTTGGTGTGCCACCAGAAGCCGAGAGGCCAGCACTGTGCACCTCATCCTAACAGTGGGACCTGAGGCAGGTTGGGGTCAGCCTTACCTGTATCCACAAAGGGCCACTGACTGACGGTGATGAGGAATGGGCCTTGATGGGGTCACAGGTGTTGGAAACAGTGTTCCCACCTTAGATCTTAGACTAAAGATTAGAGGGTCCCATGTTCCTCTCTGATGTCGTCATCTGTGAGAACAAGGTGTGTGCTGCCTCATATCCAAGCACAGGTGTGTGCTGTCCCATGTACGTGAAACAACCCACATGAGAACATGGGAGTCAGGTGATCCTGAATAATGTAGTTGAACATGTGTGTACTTGCCGCCCGTGTGTGTACACCTGGGAATGTGGGTGTCAAGTGCTCTCCCATGTCAGGGCATGGCTGTGTAGGTCTACACATCTGCTCTTTGGTGGTCCAATTGTCCTTGGGAAGTTGGATATGGTTCTGTCTGGCTGACTGGCCTTCACTTGGGTGAGTTTTGTTCACGGGCGGGTGCAGGAATGGCCTGACATAGTCCCCTGGAGGTATTGCTGAAACCCAGAGCCCCACACCCAGATGTCCAGATGAGCGGTCCAGTGCCTGGAATCTGTGCTTACCCACAAAGCTTTAATCAGTTAAAATACTATAGCCTGAGGGGCCTCTCTGTTTCCCACATATTTTTGATTTCATGAAGGACCATCGCTCCTGTCCAGTGTAAATGTGTGTGTGTGGGGTTAACCGCTTCTCTGTGCAGTTCACTTTGGGGGGCAGTTAGTTTTGGAATCATTTCTGAGTAGAAGACTTGGGGATCCAGAGCCACGTGAGCATCCTCTTTGCAGTCATGCAGAAAGTATGTGCTGAAGCTGGGGCTTATCTCGGGATGGGGTTTGTTTTGTTTTTAGCTGCCGTGACTCTGGGTCATCTGGAGGAGTGTGTGCTCCAGAGGAAGCCAGCTTTCAGATGGCTTAGGTCAGCTCATGTGAGCACTATGTGTCCATGCCGTGTCAGGACTGACCCGCCTCAGCTCCGCCCCTTCCCAGGGCCTGCATGGTTGTCTCTTCCTGTCTGCTGGCGAAGCAGCCTCCTCGTAGAGGATTGGACATAGCTCAGAGTTGGTGACTTACCCAAGGTCCCCAGCGAGGCTGACAATCCAGGCCAGTTGAGCCCCTGGCGTTGATGCTCCTGAAGACAGGACACACCCTCAGGGCTCTTCCTGTGCCCTGGGTCTCAGGACATTCTAGCCAGAGGCTGCTTTGTCCAGCAGCTAATGGGTGGAGAGTTCTGTTTCTCTGCAGTCCCACAAGCCCCCAGCAGGAGGCAGGAGTTGGGGGTGGGGAAGACAGCACATTTGTTCCTGTGATTCCATTTCAAATTAGTAGCACATTTCCCAGAGGAGAGCTGTTGGTGGTCTGACTTGAATGGCTGGCATGTGCCCTGGAGGGCCACCCCTCTGGCGCCTGACACCATCTTTCCCAGAGTGATGGCTGTGGGACCAACAGGGAGCTGCCTGGCATCCTGGTATAAACTGGGCAGATTGGCACGCTGTGTATACTTGATACCTGGCTACTGCCCTCTCCAGATTCCTGTGTTATTATTAGTGCCCCCTTTTGGTCTTTATACCTATGACTGGGCCTGATCACATAACCCTGCAAATAGCAACCAAAAATGTGCCTAGGCATGCTACTAGCTCATAGCCATCTGGGAGGCTCCCCTGCTGGCCACTATGTCCATAGAGAAGGCCTAAACCAGCATTGAGGGCAGGCTTCATGTCCACTGTGGCTTGGCCTCAGATTGTTTAAACATGTCAAAACTTCCAACAGGGACAGGGCCTCCTGGCCACTTAGAGTCAGGTGTCCTGTTTCTGGAAGATGCCCCTGAGGCTCCTCTGAGCACAGTTCAGAGAGTTCTGGGCGCACAGTAACTCGAGTTGTATCCGGTGCTACACTGGGAAGCTCTGCTCTGGGAACCGTCTCTAAGTGTCCTGAAGTGACCTTAACCTGGGCTTTAGTTCAGGGAAGATCAACCTCGGCCTGAGGGAGGTGGTTGCATGTGGTGTCGCTTGACCCTGGGGGCTTCAGTCCATTCCTGAGGATGAACCCCTCCCTGTGTTCTAGGTCCATAGGGTCCTCTCAGGACTCAGCTCAGGTTTCCAAGGGAAATATTTACTCCCAGGCTGCTGATGGCAGCAGCCAGGCTCACTGGGGCCATACTACAGGGATCCCAGAGCCGACAGGAAGCTGTGCTCACTCAGACACTCAGTTCCGTTCAGTTCTGGAAGTCGGTGAGCCAGACTCCCTCAATGAGGCACTTTTTTTCCCCCCGCCATGCTGGCCACAGGTAGTTTTACGGCACTGGGGAGGCCAGAGGTTTGGTTGCTTTGGCAGAGTTTCACATGGAGCTGTTGGCTCCTCACAGTGAAGCGGCAGAGGGCAGGGGGCCACCCCGGCCTGATTACTATACTCTGTGCACCCAGATCCTGTCCAGCAGGACTCATGGCTGGAAGTCCCCCCTTGACCCTGCACCCCTCTGTCAGGACTCCCCACAAGCTGGTGCCTTTCAGTCTCTGTACACTGTGACACTCAGGCCTTTTGTTCTAAACCTCAGTTAGGAATGGGCGAGTTCACATCCGTGACTGGCGGCAAGAGGTGCAGAGGGAAAAGCCTCCAGAAGCCAAGCGGAGCCTGCCTGCAGAGGTGTTCAAGACGCGCATCTGCTGGTTCTTCACTCACCATCCTGATGGCTGCCCGCTGCCCGCTGCCCGCTGTCCCTTTGCCCATGGCCCCGAGGAGCTGCGCCCGTCTCAGCCCTTGAAGAAGCAGAGGCAGGCTCCGAGTCACTCCCTCAGTGATCTCTAGCTGGTGGCTCCGTGGCTCTGCTACCTGTCTCCCCTGTCCTGGTGACACCCTGTTGGGGCCGAATTGGCTTCGGTGTGGCCTGTCAGTGTGCATAGCCACCACCCGTCCCTGACACACATCTCTGGCTGTGGAGCCGCTCAGCCGTTCCCAGACCGCCCCGACGCCAGAGCCACTGTGTCAGCTTCTAAGCACATGGCCTTCTTATTCTCAGGGCTCGGCCCAGGTTCCCTCTGCCTGGGAGCCTGCCGCAGGGTGATCACAGGCTCCTGGAAGCAGAGGTACAAGACTTTCTGTGAGACCATTAGCAGAGTCCTAGAGAGAACAGCTTCCAGAGTCACACTCTGCCACCCTGTGTTCCGAGGCAGGACTCAGAGTGAACACTGCCTCGTCTGGACCTTTCTCTTTGGCACCCTATCCCCAGAAGTGTGGGACAGTTTTTCCTTTGAGAAAAAAGTTATTTCCATTTAAATTTATTTTTGGTCTTATAAAAAAGGTGGCACTTGCTTTGTCTCTGCTGACGGTCCTGGGGACCAGCCTCTGAAACTTGATGTGGTAGAAATACCCCAATGTCATCCGAGTGAAAAGAATGAAGTTTATTCTGAGAGCTGAGGGCTCTGCAGCGTCCTGGGGCAGGGCGGCCACTGTGGAGTCTTGAGCCCAGCTGACGAGAACCCACAGGGCTTGCTCCTGCCTCTTTCCTTGCCAGTTTGGCAGCCATAACTCTTGGAGCAGTAATGGTGATCTGCACCCAGGCAATATCACCACAACTCTCTTGGATGGGCTAGGCTGTGTGTCCTCAGGAACCAGGGCTCACTCAAAGCGGGGCAGCCTCTGTCCTCATTGGCCCTGCCTGTAATTGCCTTATCTCCCAGGTCCATGGGGGCCCCCGAAGCTGAGGAGCCCTTTCCCAGCCTGGCTTTGTGTCTGAGGAGGCAGCATTTGGCCTCAGATCCTGCAGGTGCCTGGAAATCTAACCATGGTCCTCAAGGATGTAGTAAGGCAGATCCCCCATTGGCAGTGGGTTTGGCCCTCCCTCAGATTTCACTGGAGCCCCAGGTTAAGGCAGCTAGACTGAGGGGGGGGGCAGTCTTAGGTTTCCACCTTTTCTAGTTCACAAAGTCTCACACTGAAGCCTGGGCTCTGGGGGAAGACACTGCAGAACTTGTTCAGAATGAGCCGTGGGCTCACTCTCTCTCCCCGGGCCTGCATTCAGTGAGGACAGCTTCCAGAAGGCCCTGCATGGGAAGAATGTGAGCAGGTTAGGGAAGTGTGCATGGAGGAGGTGGGCCATGCCTGTGTCCCCTGACAGGCCTGCTGCATTGGACTTTCTGTTAAACCCGTGTTCTACCACACTAGTGACAGGACCAGAGGAGCAGGTAAGCGAGCGAGTGAGCTCAGAGGTGAGGAGGAAATGCCCAAAGTCACGGTGCAATAATGGCTGGTGGGCATGCATCCCAGGCTAACTGCATACAAGCACACACTTGTGTGTAAATGCAGGGTTTGCCTGGAGTGTGACCACCTTGGGTCCATCAAAGACGTTTGGCTTCTGAGTCTTCAAAAATGGTTGTGACCCACGAGATGAGAACTCGGCGTTGGTGGTGAGGGCTGCTGTTTCAGAGCACGTACCAGTAAGGGCCCTGGGTATCTTCCATGCCTCGGGTCAGCAAGGAGGGACCCTCAGATGATCTGTCTTTTGATGTGCAGCAAATGGCAGTGAGCCTGGGGACTTCGAGCAGTACAGCAGAGACAAGCACAGCCTTGGACTTTCATGCTCAGGTCCCTCCTGGCCGCAGCCAAGTTAAGGCCCAGGACTGAGGTCTCAGCAGAGGTTAGACTGGGGAGGATCCATGTCCATGTTCTCGTGGCGCTCCCCACAGGCCAGTTCCCACCAGTGTCACATCACAGGGGTGATGGCCTATTACTGGTGGGAGGCAGGCCGCAGGCCCTGCCCACAACCGGAACAGGCTGGTCAAACATGAGTACCAGTGAGTAAGGATCGAGGAGGCCCAGTGTCTGCCAGCCACACCCCACATCCAGACTCTCCCACACTCTCCCTGAGGATCTGTCAGTGGTGACCACCTGTCAGACACAAGCCTTGGGGAGCATGCACATCCACACATAGCAGTCTCCTTTCCTTTTGACACCACCTCCCTCCCAAGTGGGTGAATCAGGTCCCCCCAAAGCTCAGATGCCCATAACTTAAAATATAACCTGGTTTGGAAATGGAGCCTTTGTAGATATGATGGGTTATGTGGGGTTAGGGTGGATCCTTATGAAGTGGGTGTCCCTGGGGATGAATACAGACACAGGAAGTGGGAACAGATGAGTGATGGCCACAAGCCAGGGATCCTGACCCCCCCCCCCCAAGAGCTCGAGGAGGTGGGAAGACATGCTAGAATCTGAGACAGCTTCAGAGGTCACTTGGGATCAGACACTGGCTGGCTTTGAGCTGGCACAGGTAGGTCACATGGGGCAGGGTACCATCTGCTGAGACTTGAGTGAGGGACTATGGCCTAGTGATCTGTCCTCCCCACATGTACAAGCATGGCCTCGGAGACCTCCAGTGCAAGAATAGCCAATGCAAAGGCCCCGGATAGCCAGCAGAGTGTCAGTGGACCTGGACCTTAGGCTCAGACTCCTTGGCTCTGAGGAAGGTGGGAAGCAGACCTACCCTTGCCATTCCGGACTTAATCCTGAACCAGCTGGATGGCCTGAAAGATAGTATAAGTATCTTTGCTGCTATCCTTCCATCTGGTGAGAAGTTGCAGACACAGATGGCAAGGCATTTGCTCAAGGCCACACAGTAACCTACATCGCCAGAGCTGGAGCCCAAAGCCTGCCTAGGCCCATGTGCTCTGGCACTCAAGTGAATCAGGGCCTGTCTGAGACTCACAGGTTCAGGGGGTTGTGAAGCCTCCTGCGAGCAGCCCCAACACCATGCAGGCACTGGGTGCAGAGATGCCGTCAGAGCAGACCAACCAGAGAGGTTCCTCGGGGCGTTCTAACTCTTCCCATTAGCTAGCATCCTGGCCAGGCCTTGGATCAGCTAAAATCAAAGTGCAAGCCAGGGCCGTTCCCCACACCAGGCAGAAGCAAGACAGGCCCAGAGCACACAGTATGGCCAGGCCCCCGCACTACTCAGTGCCCACTGACCCAGCTTGCCTTTGATTCTGGGCTCTGCCACATCCCAGGGTCCTCATGTGACCTGGCCAGTCCTTTCTACTCCCTCGGCCAGGGCCAGGGACACAGCATTTCTGCTGTGTGAGCAGAGAGGCCAAGGCACGCGAGGGCTGCAGGCCTGGCTCCTAGCCCCTCCAACAGGGAGACTCCAATGGGCCCACGTCTGCAGACCTCAAGCCAGTTTTTGGATGAGTGAAACATTTGGAACTCCAAATGGAGATGATGCTAGCCTGGTTGGGTGGGGCCTGCCTACCAGCCCAGCCCACTGAAGCTCCCCTGCAGAGGGCAGCTGGGAGGAACAGGAACTGGCCTGGGAAGGAGCTTCCACATTATGGCCCAAATGGCAACCAGTCAAGGAGTCAGCCCGTGGCCTGGCAGGACACACCAGCTCTTAGTCTAACCTGCAGGACCAGCAATTACCCACTACCCTGGTGATACCTCCAGCACCGAGCCTGCAAGGAGCCAGAGACAGGCCGTGCCTTCCCATGAATGAGGCTGGCTTCCACAGTGCGCTATGGCCTTTCTTCCTACCTGAGCCCGGAGGAGTCCCTGACCACCAGCCAGGCAACTTCTCCACTGGGAAGTGAGCAGGGAAGAATGTCTCTAGCTGCTTGACTCTCCAGAAATCCTGGGCCATGTGGCAATGATTTGTTCTGCTGTGGAGCACTCCAGTGCAAACAAGGCAAAGCCCAGGAAGGAGGAGTATGAGAGGAGGCGGCCCAGAGGCAGAGGGGGACTCCAGAGAGCCACCCAGAGCCTCCCGCTGAGTTCTGAAGCCACCTCCTCCTCCATATTTCCTCCCCTCCTTTTCTCTTCCGCTCGTCCTTCCCTCCCTGTCTTCCTCTCCTCCTACATGCAGAGTTGAAAGGGCACTAGAATGGATCCACTCATAGCCCTCCAGCAGTTCTCTGGCAACAGGGCTGGGATTAGGTCTGTATCCATGGGGGTGCTGCCTTGACCCTGTCCTTCTGGTTGGGTGAGCAGCAGCTCCAGACAGGACAGGGAATTAGGCCTGGCTGGCAGGGACCTCTAAGAATCTGAGCTGGGATTGCCAGCCTGAGTCTCCTACTCCCAGGGGCGGGGAACCTGAGGCTGTGTCCTGGGCTGAAATGACTCTCCAGCCACAGGGAAGGGAGACAGGCTGGATGTCACTCTAGATTGTCTGAGACCTCGCTGCTGGAGTATTCATTCTTCCTTCCTCCTGTGAGGGCCTAAGCTTTATTAATTGTGCCAGCTAGTTTTATATCAACTTGACACAAGCTAGAGTTATCTGAAAAGAGGGAACCACAATTGAGAAAATGCCTCCATAAAGTCTGACTTTTTCCTAAATAGTGATTGATGGGGGAGGGGGTGCATTGTAGGTGGGGCCACCTCTGGGCCAGTGGTCCTGGACTCTACAAGAAAGCAGGCTGAACAAGCCATGAAGAGCAAGCTAGTAAGCAGCACTCCTCCATGCATTCCTCTGCATCAGCTCCTGCCTCCAGGTTCCTGCCTGAATGGAAATGTATAAATATATGGTCACTGCATGCTTGTTTTAACTTATGTTGGATGTCTGGATTTGTGTGTTCTGTGTGTCTTGGTTATAGCTCAGCTGATTACTACAACTAGCTGTCAGGGCTCGGGATTTGCCACTGGGCTTTGCTGAATTTGATGATACACCTAGCGGGTTTTGTTCCCCCAGTCAAACACTTTTAGAGACCTGAGAATACGGCATTTAATATAAAAGCTTTTTATGATAAAGGGACTTGTCAGCTCCTGGCAGCGTCCTGTATCTTCTCCAAGAAGACGGATGGCCGCAGAAGAACTTCCACCCGGGGGATTGCTTCTGGTGTGACAAAAGGCCAGCCATGCAGTGAAAAGCTGCCTTACACCGCTGCTGAGATCCTGTCCAGACTAAATTGATGGAACAGTGGGGGATCGATTGCCCCATGCTGCAAAGTCAAGGTGGGTCAGTCTCTCCAATTCCTACCCTACAAAAATTCTGTCAGATCTTCTGGGCTTGGCAGCTAGCTAAAGGCAAATACTGCTTTGGGGGCTTGTGTCCCCCAAAGACCATGGAGAGACTTGGGATTGCTGCCTGGGTGGCTGGAAGACTTTCTCACTTCTGCTTAAATCGAGCCTGCTCAGATCTGATGGTGTTTGATGACTAGGGTACCTGTTTAACAGCCCCAATCCCAAGGTTGCAAGCACCTTGATAGTTCATTAATAAGTTCCCTGTTAAAAATACAGACAGGTATGCCTCATTCACAGACTCCATACAGGATAACTGGTTTATAAATGCAGTTTTGATAGACTGATAGAGCACTGACCACAAACAGTTTTTAGGAGTCCTTAAATTTCTATGGATTTTTAGCCCTTTTGCTATTACACCAAGTTGTAAGTCCATTCCAGTTTTTTTGTTTTTGTTTTTGTTTTTGGAGACAGGGTTTCTCTGTGTATCCTTGCGCCTTTCCTGGATCTCGCTCTGTAGACCAGGCTGGCCTCGAACTCACAAAGATCCGCCTGCCTCTGCCTCCCAAGTGCTGGGATTAAAGGCGTGCACCACCACTGCCTGGCACCGTTCCAGTTGTTTTACAGACACCTATAGGTTACACCAACCTGGGCACATTACCCCATGCCCTCAGGAAGTAGCTAGACTTGAACCAGCACCCCTATACCCAAGGAGTCTGGAATGTTCTAGTGGAAGCTCCAACTCAACTCCCTCCCCCGTCTCTCTCCTCAAACTCACCCCCTCAAAGCCTGCCAAACACAGCTCCTCCCCTAGAGCTGCCCTCCCATTCCAGACCTCCCCGCTTAAAGCCCACCAAAAGCCAGCCCCCATCTGGGGCTGCTCAAGACCACACCTACAACATACTTAAGGCCGGTAGCCATATTTGCCATGTAACTCTTCCCCTGTGACCCTTCCCACGATTGCTTTGCTCATTAAACCTGGATTAATTATTTCAGTTTGATTTGGCTTATTACATCAATGGCGGCAGGAACCCAGCAACTGGGGATTTGAAACTTATCACTGCCCTCTTTGAGTTCCTTCAATGATGAACAGTGATGTCTAAGCCAAATAAACCCTTTCCTCCGCAACTTTCTTTTGTTTTAGTGTTTCATCACAACAATAGTAATCCTAACTAAGACACTACTTCAGTGAGTTGTCAAGGCAACCATCTGCCACAAAGCACTGCTGACCCAGTTTTCAGATGAATCAGTTGAGCCCAAGGAAGACACGGATCACACCAGGACTAAAGTCCAATGACCTCTACCTAGGCATGTATGTGCCCATCATACATAGTAATAATAAATAATTTTAATTAAAAATCAATGTAATTTGCTACATTAATACATTAAAGGTGAGAATCTACAAAATCACTTTAATAATCATGAAAAAAGCTTTGACAAAATCTGACTGTAGGGGTGGTTGCCTGCGCTTTACCCCTGAAACACCCCCCCCCAGCAGGCAGCAGGTAACTACTAGGTACCTGTCTTTCCCCCCCCCCCAGGGCGTGGCCAAGCTGGGACCCCTCAAGACCTGGAATGCATATGTGCTCGCTCTCTTGGCTACCTCGTGGTCTTGGGTGCTGGATGCTGGTACTGCAGACTAAGGCAAAGTTCTTCAGAGAACCTGGTTGGATGGCACCTCACCCCTTCTGGACTCCATGACCAACTCCCTTTTGCTTGTTATAAATTAATCCAAAATAAACCCCTTTGATTATCAGATAAGCTCCATGGAATTGCCTCATTATCTGACATCCACATGTTTGCACACGCTTGTAGTTCAAACAGGCTCTCATTGTAAGGCCCTGATTTGCCTTGAGTTAGAAATCTTCCTGTCTCTTAATATTGACTTGTGGTTTGTTTTGTTTATCATTTTGTTTTTGATACAATGTTTCACTGTTCGGGTTAGGCTGGCCTGAGTGCACATGCTTCCTGTCTCAGCCTCCCAAGCACTGGGACTACAGGTCTGCAGCACCACATCCAGCTCTGCATCTGCCCCTAACCAAAGCTCCCCCGAACTCACTAGGAGCGGAAGGGAATGTCCTCTTTCCCAGTGCCCCTAGAGGTGGGGGTGAGCCGAGGGTGTGAGCACCCAGCACTTCACATCACACTGGAGGCTCAGGCGGTGCAAGAAAACCAAAAATATGCAAAGGAGGAGGAAAACTGTCTTTATGGGCAGAGAGGCACAGAAACAGAAGATTCTATCTGCTATCAGGGATCGGTAAATTTGGAACTTAAAATGGCCATTTAGATTCACATTGACACCGCAGCACCCAGGGATGAACCTGACTGGAGTACTAGGAACTGTTAAGACCATCTGTGGACAATCTGTGAAGTCAGTTCTCTCCGGGGATAGAACTCTGGGCTTCAGGCTTGGAAGCAAACACTTTTTCTTGCCGAGCCATGTCACCAGCCAGCCCTGGCTAATTCAGCCCTGTTTGCATGGAGTAGGGTGGGCAGAACCTGCTGGGATGAGCCTTCCTCTTCTGGACTGGGGTTCCTACTGAGAGATCACCTAAATTTTCCCGGCCCCAGCCCTGCCCCTGCCAGCCCCTTTGGGAGGGGATTACACCAGCCGGGTGACAATGGCTTCACTTTTATTTTTTAAAGATTTAATTTTTATGCACATGGGTATTTTGCCTACATGCATGTCTGTGCACCACATGCATGCAGTGCCCATGGAGATCAGAAGAGGACATTGGATTCTCTGGGATTAGAGTTACAGACAGTTATGAGCTGACATATGGGTGCTGGGAACCAAGCCTGTGTTTTCTGCAAGAGCAACCAGTGTTCTTAACCTCTAAGCCATCTCCCCACCTCTCAGCTTGACTTTTTTCCCCTCCTTCATTGCAGCTGGTGCACTCTGAATCCCGTGAGACCATTTAAGCCCAGGGCCAAGTTCATGGGCATTCTCTATGGGGAGCTATGGCAGCCAGAACTGCCTGTGATCTAGCTTGGCAGCCAGCCAAGTGCAGCATCTGAGCTGTTTCCAAAACCCGACTTAAAAATAAAAAATAAGGCTGATATGGTAGTCCCTGCTTACGGATGGGAGCATGTGCCAAGACCCTAATGGGCACCTGAAGCCACAAATACTGTCCAATCCTGTATATGAACATGGGCATAGGATATGGAAACAATGATAACAAGCAGATGACTTAACAGGAGGGTAGTCTACACAGCACGGATACTCTGGACAAATGCACCATCCAGGCTGTCGAATGTGGGTGGACAAGCCTGAGGAGGATGGATGGGAGTGGGTGGGCTTTCCTCTCACTCCTGTCTGCCTGTCTTCTGGGTCTCAATTTTATCAGGCCAAACAGCATCGTTAATTTCGACTCTCTCACACTACTGTCCACACAGCCTTGCTGTGCAGTGAGTACTGCTCACCTTACAGATGGGGAAATCAAGGCACAGCTGATGCAAACAAATGAGCAGATAAAAGGATGGATGAGTTGCAGTAAAGCTGGGTGCTTCTCTGAGGCTCCACCTGTGCCCACAAGAGCTGTGTGGCAGGGGGATTGGGCAGGACAGGTGGGCTGCTCCTGGACACAAGTGTGCTGAGCCCAAGAGAACCCAGACCCCTTCGGGCTGAGAGCTGCCAACCTGTCACTGTGACTGGCTGCCCCTCAGCTTCTCTGGCAATGAGGCTGTGGTCAAGGATTTGGGCCAGCACTCACAGTGGAAAGCAGGATGGGGGAGTCCCTAAACCACCCCCTATTCTGTTCCTGTGCCAGACTGGACCTAGAAAGGACCCAAAGGAGCCTCAGGAAGCGATGGCTACAATATCAAAAACATTCCTGATTTGACTTTTAAGTCACACCCTGGGGTCCTGTGCTGAGCCTGCCCAGTGTGCTAGGCCGATGGGGCCAAGGACTGACCAGGACAGCCTTGCAGGGAGGTCTCTGTAGCCTGAGCTGAGTCCCCCACTTCTAGGCTCAGGGCTGTTGTAGTGAGCCCAGATTCCAGGAAAGTGGAGAATTCCCTTCTGGCTCACCATAACCTTGTGCCTCCAGTGGGGGAGGAAGCCTGGGCTTACTTCCCACTGTGAGCTCTGGAAGGGACAGAGGCAGCCCCGTGACAGGAGTCTGGTGTCCCTGCCAACCCCAGGATGTCCTGTAGAAACCCTTCACACCCCACCTTGTGGCTGCTCTGGTTAGTAAACACTGAACTGTTCATGGCAGTCTGGACCCATGGACAAACAAAACAAAAAATGCTATATCCCTGAACTTAGACACTAGGAGACTTTTCGGAGGCTCAAGCCCACTCTTGGTCTGGCCATCAATAAAATGGGCTTAAAATTCCTTTTGTTTGTTTGTTTTTTGAGACAGGGTTTCTCTGTGTAGCCCTGGCTGTCCTGGAACTCACTCTGTAGACCAGGCTAGCCTTGAATTCAGAGATCTGCCTGCCTCTGCCTCCTCAGTGCTGGGACTAAAGGTGTGTGCCACCACTGCTCAGCAGTAAGTCCTTTCTTGTGATCAAAAGTGAGCTAATTAAAATAGAAGAAATATCCAGGCTGGCATGTGGCACTTGCTGATAGTCTTGGGAGGCTGAGTCAGCAAGATGGCCAGCAAGTGCTGGGAGTGTGCCATTACCGCCAGCTTAAAACTTAATTGGCTTGGTCAGCGGGGTTGTCAATAACTGTCTCATGTGTCATTACACTAGTTAGAAGGTTGACTTGGCTTCCTCGCTCATTCAGTGTACATTCTGGTGAATGGGCTGGAATAATTGCTGTTTTAGAGACAATGAAAATGTGACAGTCATTCCTTACATCAGGCACAAAAAATAAACTCTGGATGGATCAAAGCACTAACTGTAAGAGCAAAAGCCAAATGTTTAAAGATGCACTGGGGGCTGGGGAGACGGCTCGGTGGTTAAGAGCACTTGCTGCTCTTGCAGAGGACCCAGGTTCTCCTCCCAGCATCCACACGGTGCTCACAACCATCTGTACCTCCAGTTTCAGGGGATCTGACACTTTCTTCTGGCCTTCTTGGGCACTGCATACACATATTGTGCATACATACATACATACATACATACATACATACATACATACATACATACACACATACATACAGATAAACACTCATACACATAAACTAAAAATAAATCTAGAAAGGCCCATTGGAGAAAGTTCTTACAGTCCTGACTCAAAGTACAATTTCCTATCCAGGACCTAAACATCATCTTCCAGCGTTTCCCCACAATGTGGTCCTCCAAGCCAAATGCACGGGCAGCCCTGGAGTGGAGAAGGCCTGCCACACACAGCTGGGGACATGCAGGTCCAAGCACAGAGCTACAGTGACTTGTAGAGAGCCAGAGAATGTAATCTCCCCTCCCCCACCATGCTCCTCAGCAATCTCCTAGCTGCAGAACTCTGCTCTTAGGGAAGACAGGGTGGAGAGCGGCATGACTCTGGCACCCCACAAGTGAGGTGTCCCGTCAGTGTGACTCCAGCTCACAGATGGGCCTGTCTGAGAAATGTCCATTACAGGACCACCACGACAAAGGCAGAGTCCGTGCAGACACATACAGGTCTCACCCTGTTGCACGTTAGTTACTGGAAATCTTGTTGTAACTTCTGTACACATCTGTTTGTGTGGATAACTCCGACCAATGAGCATGCCTGTGTTCTAAGGAAACTATTTACAAAGCCACATCTGGCCTTAGCTTGCCAGCCCCTGTTTACTGCAGGGGAACCCTGTGCTAAGAAATAGTCACAAGCTCCCTTACTTTGCTAAGAGAGAATGTGTTAGTCTCACAGAGAGTGCCAGGGATGGGTATGGAGAGGGGATAGAACAGGGGTGAGGAGGACATTGGCCCAGGCCAGCTTGCTGGGATGGAGGTTCCAAGGAGGGATATCTCTAGGTGACATGCTTTAGGGTCCTTCCTCATGGAGCCTCTCCCCACCCCCAAGGGTCCCTGGAGTGGAGGTAGAGAATCTATCCCAGGGTCCCAGCTCAGAGGCCCTCCAGTGCAGAGAACAGTGGGAAAGATACATTTCAAAGGAGGCTCAAGAATTTGCTGGGTAGGCAGTTATTTTCTGAGAGGTTCAAGGGTGCCTGGTGGAATCCAAAACATTCCAGTGTGAGGAATGTGGACTTGGCCTTCTGAGCCAGCAGCGGGAAGCCTCTGAGATGGCCAGTCTGAACTGAATTCCGACAAGGTTCTGGATGAAAGGCAACGGGATGCAGTTCAGTCTGCAGCATCCAGACACTGCAAATCAGGCAAGCGGAGCAGGGATGCGGAGCGCCACATGGAAGCTATCACTGAGGGTGGCTGATGCCCTTGGGCCTCCTGGCCCTGTACTCCCTCCATCCCCCCAAGAGCCATGTGCCAGGTACAGCTGTCCCACCATAGGCGCTTAGGCTGTTGGGGACCAGTTCATTCCTTTCTGACCTGGGAACCAGCACAATCTTGGGGAAGCACTCTGCTTTGTGACTAGCCCTGAACTCCGTTCCTCTCAGATGTTTCCTCGTTTCCACACCATGGGGCAGGAAAACTGTGACCATGTGTGTGTCCCCTACTTTCTGAGCCACATCACAGTCTTGCCAAAGGCATTTTATTTTATTTAAACGTTGATTTATTTGTGTGAATTTCACCACACACAGATGTGTGCATAAATGCCACGGTATGTGTGTGAGAGTCAGAGGACAGCTTCCAGGACTTCATGCTCTCCTACTGTGAGTCCCAGGGATCGAACTCACGTCGTCAGGCTTGGCAGC